AACTGCTTGGTGTGGCGGTTCGAGGGTGGCTCTTGCGAGCCGCCGAGGAGGGCCGCGACGGCGACAGGCGCCGGTGCCATGAAGCGTGCGATGAAGAGGCCGCGTAGCTCCTCCCAAGAGGCCACAGAGGATCCTGGCAGATTGAGCAGCCAGGCGTGCGGCGCGCCAGTGAGGGCCATTGGGAACCAGTTGGCCATGACCTTGTCGTCGCCTCCAGCTTCCAAGACGGCCTCCTCGTATGCCAGTAGGAAGGTCGGCAGATCCGCCGTGTTGTTGTAGCGGGGTGGCATCTCTGGCTTGAACTTGTGCGGCCACTGCACCCGCCACAGGGCGGGGGTGAAGGCTCTGAGCCCCCTAGCGCCGCCAGGGTTGCTCGCCGATCCGGTCGGAGGAGCCGCGCTGGCCATGGGGACCGATCGAAGAGGCGGAGCCGACGGAAGGATGGAACTTCGGCGCACCCCTACCTGGCACGCCAAATTTCGGATTACGGGTTCTGGCAAACCCTTGAGGTTCGAACACTGGGGTGCGCACGAAGATCTCTCTCCTTCTAGCTCACGCTCTCGCAACGATCTCAAAGCCTAGCTCGCCGAACCCGAGGAGCAAAGGACACAAGAGTTTATACTAGTTCGCGCCACCGTTGTGGTGTAATACCCTACTCTAGTGTGGTGTGGTGGATTGCCTCGTAGGCTGGGGATGAACAAGTACAAGGGAAGAACAGCCTCCTAAGGAGAGGTGTTGTTGAGCTCGATGAGCTTGTGTGGCTGGGGATGATCTGAATGATCCATATCCAGATGATCCTCTCTAACTATGGTGGTGGCTAGCCCTATTTATAGAGGCCCGGGCCCTCTCCCCAAATATGAGCCGGGAAGGGATCCCACAACGGCCAGTTTGAAGGGGGACAACGAGTACAAGTTATCCTGACAAAAGGTGGTCTTCTCCTGCCAAAGGCTCTGGTGGTGACGCCGTCGTGGGCTCCGTGATGACCTCTATCTTGCCGTCCTGCTGGTCTTGGTCTTGTTGCACCGATATGGAAACCTTTGCCTGACGCCTCAGGACTCCTCGCCCGCGCCGGTCTCTTTAGCACCAAAGAGGAAACTGGCAATCTGCGCCCGCTGGCACCCGCCTGGCCTTGGTCGTCACGCCTCATGAGGTGCCCCTTGCCTTGATCTCTCCACTCCTCGTGAGCCAGCCTAGTGAGGCTGCCCCTGAGGAGGTCCTGTGTCGTTCGCCTCACGAGGCTTGGCTCCTCGCGAGGGTCTTGAGTGTTGGTTGATGAAGATGGGCCGTACCAGGCCGCTGGTGGAGCCACACCCTGGGCCGCAGGCAGGCAAGTCTGGGTACCCCCGTTCCCAAGATGCCGACAGCACGCCCTGGTGGTTGTGCTCCCTTAGGAGCAGCCCCCAGGTGCTTCTTTGGCCTATTGGTTGTCTTCTGCTCCAAAAAAATCCGCAAAAAGTTTCGCTACGTTTGGACTCCGTTTGGTATTGATTACCCGCGATGTAAAAAACATGCAAAAAAATAGCAACTGGCACTTGGCACTATGTCAATAGGTTAGTACCAAAAAATGATATAAAATGACTATAAAATGATTATAAAACATCCAAGATTGACAATGTAACAGCATGGAACAATCAAAAATTATAGATACGTTGGAGTCGTATCAGGGGGCCGGCGGCCACCAGGGGAAAACCCTAGATGGGTTTTGGAGCGCCTCCCCACCGGGAACCTTGGCCCCCAAGGCAAAGAGGGTGGCTGCCCTAGGGAGCGCCCCACCCCTTATGGTTACGTGGGAAAGGGTGAGGGGACACATAGCCCCTTAGTGGGCTGGTTTCCCCCCTCCCCTTGGCCCATGCCCCCCCCAACACTTGCAGTCCAATATATCAATCTTCACCTTTGGACCATTCCAGAGTTCCTCGTCACGTTCGGGATCTCATCCGGGACTCCGAACAACCTTCGGTAACCACCATAATGACCGAACTATACTTATATCGTCACCAAACATTAAGTGTGCAGACCCTGCGGGTTCGAGAACTATGTAGACATGGCCGAGACACCTCTACGGTCAATAATCAATAGCGGGGCCTAGATGCCCGTATTGGTTCCTACATATTCAATGAAGATCTTATCGGTCGAACCTCGATGTCAAGGATTCTGCTAATCCCTTATGCAGTTCCCTTTGTCCATTGGTATGTTACTTGCTCGAGATTCGATCATCGGTATCTCCATACCAAGTTCAATCTCGTTACTGGCAAGTCTCTTTACTCGTTCTGTAATACAAGATCCCGTGACTAACACATTGGTCACATTGCTTGCAAGCTCATTGTGATGATGTATTACCGAGTGCGCCCTGAGATACCTCTCCGTCATACGAAGTGGCAAATCCCAGTCTTGATCCATGCCAACTCAACAGACACCCTCGGAGATACCTGTAGAGCACCTTTATAGTCACCCAGTAATGTTGTGACGTTTGGTACACACAAGGTACTCCTCCGACGTCAGTGAGTTGCATGATCTCATGGTCATAGGAACATATACTTGACATGCAGAAAAGGATAGCAACAAACTTGACAATATGCATTGGCTCCGAATCATGTCTTTGGTCAATAGTTGGGTTGCCCGGCTCCCGTGCTTGCTACCTTACGTTTCGTCTGATCGGCTAGGGTAGTAAAGGGAGAACTACTGCGATTGTGTTTCTGGTTCGCCCGGACAAACACCTCAGTAGAGAAAGCCGAAAACTGACTGTCATGATGAGGCGGGAGCTGGTTGATGTCTACTACACAACCTTCTTCTTGTAGACGTTGTTGGGCCTCCAAGTGTAGAGGTTTGTAGGACAGTAGCAAATTTCCCTCAAGTGGATGACCTAAGGTTTATCAATCTGTGGGAGGCGTAGGATGAAGATGGTCTCTCTCAAACAACCATGCAACCAAATAACAAGAGCCTCTTGTGTCCCCAACACACCCAATACAATGGTAAATTGTATAGGTGCACTAGTTCGGCGAATATATGGTGATACAAGTGCAATATAGATGGTAGATATAGATTTTTGTAATCTAAAATTATAAAAACAGCAAGGTAGCAAGTGGTAAAAGTGAGCATAAACGGTATTGCAATGCGTTGAAACAAGGCCTAGGGCTCATACTTTCACTAGTGCAAGTTCTCTCAACAAGGATAACAATAATTAGATCATATAACTATCCCTCAACATGCAACAAAGAGTAACTCCAAAGTCACTAATAGCGAAGAACAAACGAAGAGATTATGGTAGGGTATGAAAACCACCTCAAAGTTATTCTTTTTGATCGTTCTATTCAAGAGTCCGTACTAAAATAACATGAAGCTATTCTTTTCGTTCAATCTATCCTAGAGTTCGTACTAGAATAACACCTTAAGACACAAATCAACCAAAACCCTAATGTCACCTAGATACTCCAATGTCACCTCAAGTATCCGTGGGTATGATTATACGATTCTTTATTGAATGATTTAGCTTAATAAACTTTGTGATTGTTGTGAAGGGGCCCCGCTCAGCATTTTCGCCGAAAGGCCACGAAGTGTATCACTGTCATTATAAGAGTTAGGGAGTGATGGTAATTCGAGGTGATCGTAGAAGCCTTCATCCCTAGGTTTTACAATTGATAGGGGAATTACGGAGAACCCTTAGTGAGGCCGGGTCCACGGGGAAACCCTTAATCATCGTAGTTGTAACCTGCAGGGGGAAACTACGATGGTGGCGTGTGTGGCACGAAGTCTACCTAGAGTACATAGAACGTGTTCTGTACCCGGTCCGCCCAAAGTAAACTTCAAGAGTGGCTCAAGTATCCAGATAATACTATGTCGCTACATAGGTTGCGTTAGAAACATACCAACGGAAATTCCAGACTCCCTGAGAACGCCTTACTCCTCTGTCAGTTTGCTTGTTATTTTTCCTACTATTTTTTATATCTGTTTAATTAAGTTTTTTTACTTTAAGTTCACATTTCACCAAAACCAATATTCATCCTCCGCCCTTACTTTGCTTGGAGCCTATAATCACTTGCTGGTGCAATTTTGTAAGTCACCGCGGGAGGCAAAACCCTAATTCATGTGCTCCCTATGGGATCTAGTTACTATCATCCTTTGCTATCTTTATTATTATTTGCTTTTAACCTTGTGGCTAGCAAGAACAAGGGGAGTGATGACCCCCCTTGCCTTTGTTGAGTGTTGCTACTTGTGATAGCTGTTGGATTTCTTCGAAGAGAAAGGGTGATGCAGTATAGTAACAGATAGTATTTTCCTCAATTAAAATCAAGGTTCAGACCGCACAGTCCAAACGGATGCGGGCAGTTTGAGGATCCATTTTGAAGATGCCCTTAGAAGACTATTAGAATTAGCTTCACTACCTAAGGGGATGTAATGGTCATATAGATCTGGGGCATTCCAGCTAGTTTTCCCTTTTAAAATGAAAATGTACATGTCACACATGTGTGATGGCATAGATAGAACGCATGGCTTATAAAGCGTACCTCACTGACAAAAGGAAGTGGAAATAAGGGGCAAAATGGTTTTGTATTACATGTTAGGCCTAAGGGCTGTGTGTAAAATACCATCTTTGGTTAAGGGCATTTTTTTTTGCAAATATGCCATAGCAGTTATGAGTCAATCTGGTCCATACAACTAGCATCTAACAGCCTCCGCTCAGGTTTCCAAGATTCCACCGAATATGTGGTTTTCACGTGATATTGTCTCGTGTATACATATACGTCGTGATATATGCACACATGCATCGTAACATTGATACACACATACATGATACATACTCGAATACTCCCCTAACCCCAGTTAGGAGAAATAAGTGGTTACATATGTCGCATCCATACACACTATACGGCTAAAAATGAAGTGAAACTCCCGTTTTGCTGCTTCATATATTACACGGGCGATGTATTCAAGCATGTAGATGCAGCTAGCCTAGCTTAGCTTATTCACTTGCTGCCTGTTCATGCCCGTAGGAATCGAAGCCCTCAAGATCCGAGACGGGTGGTGGATGCCAACGCCACCGCTTGCGCCCACACCTTGAGCCTCGCCTTCACGTCCACCGGATTCTCCCCTGGCAAAATCACAAGTTCGCAACACACGTTAATTTGAGTATCGCGCATGCACATTTACACTGAAGCTCGTGTAAGAGTAACCGTGAGTAGAAATATAATAAACTCTAGGAAAGTCGTGGTAATTTTATAGCTCGACATATTTTTAGTTCTAAATACATCAATTTCTATCCATTTCCGCAACAAATAATCTGGGATTGAGGGAGTATTGTATATGAGTGCATCTAAGGAAGTCACGCTAATCTTGCATACATGGGTGCATCTACGTTTATTTGATGTTCTTCAAAAATATATCTTCAACCCACCCACCAGGGATGGTTCTGGCGACCCAGATTAATTAAGATCAAACAGTATGCAAAGACATACTAGCAGTCTAGCACTACTAATTAACTATAACTAATCTGAGTGGAACGATTATGATGATGAGTACGGGGAGGGAGACGGGCTGATCGCGACTGGAGGCCTGAGCGTGGCGAAGGGTGAGTAGCCAGATCGACGTGCAAAGCGTCGCCGGATGGGGATGGCGACGCCGCCCGGTTGTCCTGGGAAAGGCACCAGCTACGGTTGGCCAGACTTAGTTATATTGGTACCACTAATCACCTAGAGTACGTCCAGAGAGCACTTGACGAGGGGCGCACATGATGGTAACAATAATAAATTTTCATTGATGGAGTCGAGGGTGCCCTGCTTTTGACCAGTGGGAGACGAGGCCGGGCGAGCAGAGATGCTTGTCGTCGTCGGTGTGCCATGCCCGGCAAGGCAGGGTGGTGTGCATGCATGCAGATATATCTGCAGCTAGTGACCCGTGGAATTAATGCAGGTGCTGGGTGGTGTGTGTGATGGTGACGTACCGGCGCTGGGGCTGGAGATGGAGCAGCTGCCGGCGGTGGAGGGCGACTCGGCGCCGCTGCTGGCGTGGCTGTGGGTAGGGCTGCTGCCGGCGGAGAGGCCGTAACATTGGATCTCTACGGTGCCGTCGGAGGGGAGCTCGAGGCCGAGGTCCCTGCACGCACGCACCTCCTCCATGTCCATCGCGACGCTGGCGGACGAGTGGTGGTGGTGCGGGGAGGAGGAGGCGCACGGGGACGAGGACCCGCCGGCCTGCTTCCCCACCACGACTACCACCGGGGTGTCGGCGTCGGGGGCGCCGCCGTTGCGCTCGTGCCAGCTCTTCTTCATCTCCCACGCGCGGTCCAGCCAGGCCTCCCGCGCCGCCCGCTCCCGCCGGACCACGCTGAAGCTGCTCCGCCGCGGCTGTGCCACCTCCGCCTGCGCCGACCCGCGCTGCAGAAGCCGCGCCCACTGCTCCTCGTTGTCGCTCCCGAAGTTCTTCTTCGTCTCCTCCACCGCCAGCCACGCGTGCGGCGGCGGCAGGGTCCGGGCCCCCTCGCAGCCGCCGTCGCGGTGACGTCGGTCCTGCACGCCCGCGTCGACGACCTCCTGTCTCCTTGACAAGACCCCACGGCTGCCGCCCGAACCGCTGCCCCCGTCGACGGCGAAGCGGGATACCCGCCTCCTCAACTCCCCCGCCCCGCCGGCACCGTCGTCTCCCCCGACGGCGAAGCGGGACACGCGCCTCCTCACCTCCAGCACCTCGTCACCGTCGTCGCCACTATCATCGCCGACAAGGTCATCCTCCTCCTCGTCAACGAAACGGGCAACAGGTGTCTCCCTGGTCATGGACGCCATGGCTAGCTATAGCTTCTAGGCTATACGCAAGAGCGGTAGAGCAGGTGAGTGACAATGCCGGGAGACCAATGGTTGGATGGGAAGCATGAGTTGTTGGACGGCCGGGTGTATATATAGACCGGACGGAGCTGTACGCTGCATGCTGCAATGGCGACGGGTGGCGCGACACACGCACACATATACTTCCTACAGTACATGATATGGGCGTGCATGTATGACGTCGGACACCGTCTAGCTGAATGGCATGGCATGGTTGCCGGGCATGTATGGCAAGCATATATCAGCAGTAACCTGTTGGATCAGGCAGTGTCCGTATAAGTCATGGAGATTGCTAGCCACAGCCACCCAATGAATATGGATATTAATAACCTTTGATTGATAATCGTGTACCTGAAATTTTCCCAGGGGCCAGGTCCCGCTTAAATTTTCAACGTTAGGTTGACGTGGAAACTCATGTTCCACTCTTCATGTCTCCCGCGAGAAAGGTGCTTGCCTGACATTTGATCCCTCACATCTCACATTTTGGTTCCGCTTGAACGTATCTTGAAATGCTTTTGTGCAAAACTGCACCAATTTCGTCAAATTCATGAATTATTCAGTTGATTTTACTGAATCACAATTCATTGCCAGTGAGCAGTCAATTCCAAGTGAATTAACTAAAGCTTATCACGTGATCACCGCACACGAAATCATCTGATCTCCAGAAGCATTTCTACAGGCTACATCAGGGATAACGTTTGAAAGGGATGCCGGCATATCTGGATAAGATAGATCAAAGGGAGCAAAAATTCAACCGGCGAGCCCACGTCATGAAAAGCAAAAGCGCCAAGCGGACCACATGAGCACGAGCACGCCACGAGGGATCGATGGCTCCCGGGCGGAACGAACGGTGCGCGTGCGTGCACGCCGGAGGAGGAAGGACGATCGAGCCGCCGAGCCGGCCCCGCGGGAGCACGTGGCGCCTGGAGAAAAAGGCCCGGGAGACCAGGGCTGGCGTGGGGCCCGGAGGATGACTGGTGGCGGCACCGGAGTCGTGCCAGGTGGCTGGGGATAGAGGGGACGACCGGCGAGGGGTCGGTGTCCACGCGGTTAAGCTGCCGCGGCCAGAGGGGAGGAATTAATGGGTTAATTTGCACAACCCATGGATGGCTACGGGTTCGATTAGATCACTTTGATTAGGGAAGGATGGGCTTAGACTAGGGGATGATTAGTTGTATTTTTAGGGGGGTAAGGGAGGATAATTAAGCATGATGTGTACCCTAAAGAACAGTAGAGCCCACTGTGAGGTGCGTGCGCAGTGCAGGGACACGCAAAGCTCTAAAGTTTTTTTTTCTTCTCTTTTTCTCACGGCTCCTCAAAGATTTAGGTTTCTTCTCCACCACCCCTCCTCCATCTGTACATCGCCAACATCCTCATGTTTCGTGTGACTATCGGTGGGGCTGTGCAGCAAATCTCAATTTAGTGGTACGAGATGTAGTTAACCCTGTCTTAATTGGGGTGTCGGTGTTGAAGATTGGTCCCCTGACTTCTTCTTCGGCCTTGATGTTGCATAGTCGAATTCGACACTAGATCGGGTGGACATATAGTTCTTTGTTGCCTGCGATTCGGCCCTTTTAGTGGTGGCGGGACTGTGGCGGCGGTGCTCAATAAGGCCTCCTCCAACTTCGGTGGTGCGTGTGCTCTCAGACCTAGGGACAAATATAGTGGGCAAGTTTGCCTTTCTATATATGGAAGTAGGGGCAGTTGGCTGTTTTTTTGTCACGTTGGTGATGCTTCAACAGTAACAATGACGATTCGGTTAATATGTTGACTCAGATAAACATCTAGGTGTGATCAATCTAGTGTTGCCTTCTTCTTTGGGTCTAGAATCCTTTGGGTTGAACCCACTCCCAGCTCTGGTAGAGATCAGTGACTTACCGGCTACCTACATTGATACTACTTTCTCCCACGGTGATGCCTTGGAACTCCAACGGCGAAAACATTGTCGCGACATCGACATGTGTGGAGTGAAGAGGGTGGAAAACTCTCATTTCTCAGAATCACCAAATTTAGAGTGGCATTTATCAAATTAACCTTTAATACATCGCTCTAGCACCTTCAGGCAAAAAAAAGGCATGCGTCGTGAGGAGGGCAGAGCACACCGCGGAAAGGGTGCAACTATGCTTGACCTTAAGCTGAGTTGGCATTTGCAAGATTATGAAAATTTGTTTGCTAAAGTAGCTTTTTTAGAGAAGACACAAAAAGGACATCCTGTACCTGATAAATATCGAGGGAAATAGTAGCCATTGTAATGAAAGACAACCAGGCCCAAAACGACTAGCAAAATATAAATTTACAATGAAAACAATAATTATTATTTTTCTATCTTTGCTTGTACACTGCACTTTGAAGCTTGAAAATACATTGAACCAACAGTAAGGCAAAGGTCTTGCCATAACAGCCTTTGAAGACAGCAATAGTCACTCGTCACTAGAAACAAGATCTAGTAACCGCTGAAAAACACGTCGGTTGGGGCATCACCTCATGCAGCCGAGGCTTGCAAACCTTCACTACCAATCTACTGGGTTAAAAAAATTGTGCCATGTTGTAAAACAAATTGAAAGAAGATGTGGAAGTCATCGTCCTAAGAGTTAACAAACCTCTTTACATGCTTGACACACCAGCAGTCAAAATTTAAAGAGAGCCAACAAATACATCAACTCCTACCCCGGCTCACAGACCATTCATTGCTGTTGAATCGAACGGTGTCGATGTAAGGGAAGTCTAGAGCGACATTATTCCAACGCGTCATCCCCGCCACCACCTTGCTGATACCATCAGGAAAGAAAGACCTACTGGAACCAAAAAACAACGAAAGGGACGGATCCCGGCTCCATTAGGTGTTGACAAGACTGTTGGACAGGAGAGAATAGGGAACCGAGACGACATGGTGGAGTGGAGACTCGGCGGCTAGGGTTGGGAAGGGAGCCGTTTGCCCAACGAGTGTCGTTCTATGCACATCCGTAATTCATCGCGACGGGACGAAACATGTCACGTTTTCCACACGTTGCTTAACTCCGTTTTGAAAGAGACAAATACGTTGTGTTAACTGGTGCGTGCTAATCTCAGGAAGCACAGGTCTACGCGGGAACGCCGCGATATTTGAACAGTGTTTTGATGTATCTCGGCAGCTGCTCATGTCCTGGCACTGCATGGACAACGTGCAAGCTTCCAAGGAGGCCGTGTACTCGTGGTAGACCGCGCCCATTCCCCTCGGCTTCTGGGGTCAGCTGATGTATCGCCTTGCCTTGTGTCGGAGAGCCGACAGCTCCGTGTTGGCATGTACGTACATCGGCCATGCTTTCCGCCGAATTGACCGTGTCTGCTGCGCGTGTGTACATCATCATAACCTGTAGCACACATGCTACTGGTTGCAGGGAAAAGGGCTTGTACCGCCAGTGGAAGTAGGAAATGGTTGAGCGACACCTGTGGAAAGAACGGCCGAGCTAAGCAAAGGTGCCAAAAGGGCGACAGATGCCGCGTAGGCAGCGTCATGCAGCTCGACTGTTCCTTTTTTTTCCCGAGAAACATCCAACGCAGATATTCTTTTTCTTTATGAGGATAACTTTCAATCTATTCATCAACTGTCAAGTTAGTATAAAGAACAGAAAAAAAAACATCTAGATCTGTAGGCCACCTAACTATGACTACTAGCACTGCAGCGAGCCAAAGGCGCGCCGTCGTCTTCACCCCTCCCTCATCGGAGCCGGGCAAATCTTGTTGTAGTAGATAGTCAGAAAATTGTCGTGTCAAGGCCTCATAAGACAAGCGCACCAGAACAATAACCGTTGCTCATGAAGAGAAGCTTAGATAAGAAGGATCCAACCTGTAGACACAGGAACACACAGACGAACGAAGACATGATCCACTCGGATCCAACGAAGACAACGCCGACCGAATCCCGCGAGATCCACCTGAGACAAACCTCTACAAGCCCTCCGACGATACTAGAAACACCACCGAAACGGGGACTAGGAGGGGAGAACCTTATTACATCTTCAGAGAGCCGCCGCCGCCTCACCTCTCTGAACAAGAAACAAACCTTAACAATACTCAAAGAGCATAAAAAATGGAGCTCTCCCGCCGACAAGGGCCGGTATCCACCACACCTCAATGGTCCTAAGGCCACAGGAGAGGAGATTGACTGGCGGCAACACCAGCGGGAGGCACGAGAAACCCTACCCAAAGCGTCCTCTTTCTACCCCCCCCCCAACGTAGATATTCTGCTCTTATATATCCATCAAACGGTCCAGACATTTTTTAAGTCCTCAGCATGGATATCCATATTTAGTCTAAGACGTACGGACGTCTGAAATCCCTCGGTCTGGCCTCAAATTGAAATGGCAAAGAAAAAGATGACTCCGGGGAACTTCTCAGGAGCCAAATAGTGTGGTACATCGGCGGATACCACTCTGACGTGCCACCACGACAAGGGATCTGGCGATGGCAGGACCTCGGGCTCGAATCCACGACAGTGGAGACACACGTGATCATCGTGTGCCGTCCTGAGCAATCGCCTCGATGATGCACGTCGTTGGGCCCATCCTCCTACACAATGGCCTCCGTGGTGAAGAAGGAGCCTGCCTCCGAGGACGGTGACATCAACCGACAAGATGGTGTTGGCTCGTCAAAGGAGACATCCCTGTGTTGGGAAACGTTGCATGGAAAACAAATTTTTTCTACGCACACGCAAGATCTAACCATGGAGATTCATATCAACGAGAGGGGAGAGTGTGTCTACGTACCCTCGTAGACCGTAAGCGGAAGCGTTTGTTAACGTGGTTTATGTAGTGGAACTTCTTCGCGCTCCAACCGATCAAGTACCGAACGTACGTCACCTCCGCGTTCAGCACACATTTAGCTCGGTGATGTCTTCCGCCTTCTTGATCCAGCAAGACGGCGAGGTAGTGGATCAGTTCCAGCAGCACGACGGTGTGGTGACGGTGATGGTGAAGCTATCA